CCGCTTCCCCTCCCCCGGGTGTCCCCAAGCCAGCCGCTGCTGAAACTGACCAGTGGCTGACTACAGGAAGCCCCTGCCCTGGGCTTCGTGGAATCAGCTGCTGATCAGTTTCAACAGCGGCTGAATCTGGACGCCAGTTCCGACTTACATACAGATTCAACTTACATACAGATTCAGTAGGTTTGTTCTTATCTTGTACGTAACCCGGGGACTGCCTGTATTTATGTTTATATTTGATTTATTTTACAATGATACAATAAAAACAAAGTTGGCAATTTTTCAGTAAGAGGTCTGTGTATTTTATGTTTATAAGCAAGTGGGTTTTTGGGTTTTTAAGTAAGTATGAATAGCTTTCTTTACAGCTGCTGTTTTTTGGTAGACAAATATGTAATCAAATAGAGATATTTGGATATTCTTAATTAAATAAGGACAATTAAATGTCTTTGTATGTTGCCTCCAGTGGGTCAGTTTAAACCATGGTGAAAATTAATCTTAAAACAATGACCTAGCTCATGGGGTTGAATGTATCCCTGCAGAGAGATTCAGCTGCTAGCTGTATCACTACAATACGTAACCCACCACCAAGGTAATAAAACTAATAGATTTCAAAGCCAGAAAGGACCACTGTGACCATCTAGTAGTCTGATCTGTTGTATAAAGCCAGGCTATAGAACTTGACTTGACTTCACAAAATGGCTCCTAGAGCATATCTCTCTTTAATCAAATTTTGATTTAAAAAAATGGCAAGTGAGGGAAAATGTACCACAAAGCTATGTACATTCTTTCAATGGTTAAATACCCACAATGTTAAATTTATCCTTTTTTTTCCATTCTAAATTTGTCTAGCTTCAATTTCTAGCCATTGGATTATTAAAACCTTTTTCTGCTGCACTGAAGAGCCCTCTATGAAATCTTTGTTTCCCCCGGTGGGTACCTATACTTCATAAGCCCCAAACTTTCTCTTTGTTAAACTAAATAGATTGAATTCCTGGAGTCTCATTATAAAGCATGTTTTCTAATCACTTAGTATTCTTGTGTGTCTTCTCTGAACCTTCTCCAATTTATCAACATCCTTCTTGAGAATCCTGGTCACCAGATCTGGACACAGGCTTCCAATAGCAGTCACGGCAGTGCCAAATACAAAGGTAAAATAATTGCTCTTCTGTTACTTGAGATTCCCCTGTTTATGGATCCAAATATTGTGTTAGCCCTTTTGGCCTCAACATTACACTGTTCAGCTGATTATCCCCTAATCCTTTTCAGAGTGTCTGCTTCCTGTATAGATGGACTATCCTCTTTGTTGCTAGATGTATGTATTTACATTTAACCATATTGAAATGTATATTATTTGTGTCCAGCACACCAAGTGATCCAAATCAGTCTGTATCAGTGTCTTGTCTTCATTATTTAACTCACTTAATTTTTGCACCATCTACAAACTTTCAGTTATGAATGTTATTGCCTTCCAAGTCAGATAAAAATGTTAAATAGTATGGGTTCAAGAACCAGTCCCTAAAGGACTTCACCAGAAATTATGCAGTTATGTCACTTCTGCAAATAAAGTGACCTGAAGTGAAGAAATAAAAGAATTTTCTTATTTTACTAAATAAAGCCACTCCTATTAATGAGAATCAAGACCTTTAGAAAGGACAACTTTAAGAGACTTTTAACTGGAAAAAATACCTGTGAGGTTTGAATAATGCAATATTTGTATTGATGTTTGACAGAAAAATATTTTACAGCTGCAGTTACAAGCAACATCCTTTTTTTTTTTTTTTTTTTTTTTTTTTTAAATTGTTCAGGTCTCTCATGTGGCACAAGCCAGCAATACTCTTACTGAAAGTATATGTTCAGATTAGTTCTTAGTTCTACAACTTCAAGGTTAGAATTTCTGTAATGTGCAGGTACATTTCCATTGGGCAGAATCAGATCCTTATTCAAACATCAAGCCAGGTTTCTTGGATTTCTTTCTTCTGGGGATTGGACTGAGATCACAGGCTTTCTTCAGACAGGTCACCTAACTGCAATCAGATAGTACAGTAATAGGTTTTAATCACTACTAATCTGGGCAAAATGGTGTCAGGCTCTGTATTCTATTATGAATACCTAAGGGTATGTCTATACTACAGGATAAGATACACAAGTTCAGTTATGTTAATTACATAGCTGAAGTCCAAGTCCCTAACTCAATTTTTTTGTGCTGTCCATGCTGCAGGAAGTGGAGAGTGTGCACCTTTCACTAAGACTCCTCTTCCCCCCGCCTCCCTTCTTTGTAGAAGGACTACTGGCATTGACAGAAGCGCCCTCTCAGTTCAAATTAGCGTGTCATCACTAGACCTGCTAATTGAACCCCGGAAGATGAACTGTGGCAGCTTCAATCTTCTCTGTAGTATAGATGTGCCCTAAGAGATTTAATGCTGCATATATTTTTCTTTTCCTTTCCCCAGTCACTGCTATGAATGCTTTTCTGTACTAATGGATCTTATGAGCAGAAGCTCAGGATTTGAGCCCATGACCTCTTACATTAGGAACAAGAAGCCATACCCCTATGTCAGCAGCAGGAAAAAAAACTTTACGTAAGCTTAACTTTTGAATAAGTAGAAACCTGCTGCTGGTCTAAGACAAAAGACATAAGAATTCTTTAGAATACCAATTCTTAGTTACTTATGTTTCTATTCTACAGTGTACAAGTAAAACAACCCAGGTCAGTTTGCAGTTCTCCAGTAATTTTTTTTTGACACATTTCCATCTACTCAGTGAATGTAAGTAAGCAGTATTTTTAAAAACAAGGCTTAAGTGTTTGTAAGATAAATAGACTAGCAATACCTGGGTATTGCATTTTTTCAGTCTGGATGGTTCTCTCATCTCCATATTACTGATAAATCCTCTAATTTGTATCACTTTTATTTTCATAACCCTAATAAATAGAACAATATATCTTATGATCATGATCAAGTAATTTTAAGACATTTTTATAGTGTCCTAAAACTTTTCAATAGGATTTTTTTTCCTGGGGTCTTCTCTATTCTGACTCATTAAAAAATGAGTCTCCCCTCTATCCAGACAAACAGGTAAGAAAAATAAGTCTAATTTTTCCCCAAAATCCTAGCAAAAATCCTTTAGCAGTCTGTCCCTTCCCCCCCAGTAAACTCATGTTTTTGTTTTGTTTTGTTTTTAAAGTAAAGAATACTTATGTTCCACAATAACCTTTCACTAGTTGTGAGAGGTCTAAGACTTCTCAGAGACCACCCAGAATACTTTTCTGAAAACTTCCACCGAGCATATGTCCTGCTCAAGAGGAATACCTTGTATACTCATGTGAAGAACTGCTTTAAATATGTCCCTATTAAAAGATTCCGACTATGAGAAGTCTCTAGTTTTGTTGTTGCAGGCACATAAGCATATTAAGCCACTTGATACAAAGCTCACCCTTTTGAGATAAGAGTAGAACTTTAACTCTTAAAGTCCTTCTTTTATGTCAAACAATCTTGTAAATTCACACTGGACTATTAGCTGTTTTTTCAACTGCATTTCATTGCTAATTCATATTCAATGTGATCTACCTAGATTCTTTTCAGCAGTACTAACATTTAGCCATTTTATAATTACACGTTTGATTTATTTTTCTTCCTAAGTGAAAGTTATTTGTACTTTATTGCACTAAATTTCCTCCTGTTAATTTCAGAATAATTCTTCCATTTGCAAGGTTCTTTCGAATTATCTTGCCCTTTAAAGTGCTTGCAAACCCTCCCACCATGGAATCATTTGTCAATTTATAAACATACTGTCTACTCTTTTATCCAAGTTAATGAAGATATTTAATATCAGACCCAACAATGAACCCTGTGGGCCCCTACTAACTATGCTCTCCTAGTTTGACAGTGCATCCACCATATAGTAAATTAATCTAATTCTCATGTTCCCAGTCTACTTATGAAAATATCATGTGGGTTTGTGCCAAAACCCTCACTAAAATCAAGATATCACATTGACTACTACTTCCCTAGTCAATAGACCAGTAACCCTCACAAACTCCAAGAGCTAGGGCTTCTACAGGAGAGATCTGGGTTCAAAGTTACAATAAGGGCACCCCTCTTTCTGCTGCAGGTGGTAAGTCTAGGTCTCTTTGGTTTTGTTAAAATGACCAAAATAAAAACTTTGTTTTTATTGAAAAAAGTGACTGACTTTGCCAAAAACTAGTTATTTTTAGATTGATCCAAAACAAAACTCCCCCTCCACCCAAAAAACCTGCCACTGAATGGAAAAAAATTCCATTATGTACCCCACTCTACTCCTGAGTCAAATAGGGGAAACCTACCCAAAGAATCACTAAGGCCTAGACTGAGGGCCATGAGAACCCTGATTTAAAGCGAACAAAGTTTAGACTTGTGACACTAAGGGCTACCTTGAAATACCATAATAAATAGACCTCACACAGGGAGTGTGTATGTTTAGGTGAAGAGAATCTTAGCATTTTGACCTGAGCATTTTAGCATTTTTTATAAGACCCAAAAGGGAACTGAGAACAATGCACCTTCAAGGCCCTGTGGTGTGTCAAGGAGGTGCCTGGCATTGTTTCACTTGTTTTATTTTTCTGAAAAATAGAAGTTTTGATTTCTGAAAAGCCAATCTTCTAAAACTTCAGAAATATAAGAAGACTTAAGTAAAGCTTAGCTCTTCCTTCTCCCAAATCTCAGCCAGTGATGGACAGTAGGGTGTTGAGGGAGCACAGCTGGGAGTCCCGTACCTCCTGACTTCAGGGGCAGGAGAGGTTGGGATGGGATGGGGAGAATGTATGGACCCCTCCTCCTTTCCTTGACAGTGAAACTGAAAGGTTCATACAGCATACAAAGCCATCTCTTAAAAGTTTCAGAATGAGACTGGCAATGGAGGAAAAAGGGCTGCATCACCCCAAAGATCAGTATATTCCCCCACCCTATAACTGGAGAGAGAAGCCTCAGAGCAGTTTCTTTCAAGAGAAGATTAGATAACTGGGCCTTGTCTACACTGCGGGGGTTTTCTCTGGAAAAACTCTGCCACGTCCAGGGAACGCATTTGCTCTTCCACTTCTTTCAGAATCCCTGTCTCCTTCATTCTATGAGGAAGAAGGGATCTTCTGAAAGAGGGAGATTTTTCTGAAATTTGGCCTAGTGTAGATGGGCCACAATAGAGCAGCACAGCAGTGGAAGTGGTGCCTAAATATCCAGCCAGAAAAGTAGCCAGAGCAGTCTAGATTCTGCAGAGACATATACATGCTTACCTTTATGCACTATGAATATGCTCTGATCCACTGAGACTACTAGTAGTATGTAAAGTTGTGTGTGTGCAAGTCTTTGCAGGAACTGGCCCTAGAATCTGCATTACTACAGTTTGAGATGTAAATTTCATACCCTCATTTGCAGTTTCCTCATCCCACACCTTACACATGGAAACTGACTGTCCTGGCTCACAGCCCATTAATGCACTATTGCCAACCCCAATCATTAAAAGATCATGACAGTAATACTTTTCAGTTATTTTCTTGCTGGTTTTTGAGTCAGATTCAAAGCTTTTTCTCTGCAGCAATAAGTGCTAGAAATGTTTTAAAATTAAAGCTTTTTTATAAAAGTGTATAGTCACATGATTCCAAGAGCGTGTTCAAGATAAATATAACGCGGCCTGAAAAGCAAGAGTTAGCAAAACTTTATATGAAAGTAACTTACCATACCCCTAATTGCTTTCTACACATTTTTCAAGATTTATTTCTATAAACAGTTGAACAAAGTCTTCTACACCCTTAAGACAAGATGACTTCTCTTTCCATGTTAAATGTGCCAACCAACACTTCAGCTCATTTTATGGATGGAATGCCTGTTGTCGTCAGTTTAAATGTGTAAGGTGGAGGCAGCCATGTGGGGAATTGGAAAGCAGAAGTGTCTTCTAAGTTTTTGTTTATAGGACAGCTAAAATGATAGTTTAAATGGTAAAGTAAAAGGGGAAAAGTGTGTGTGTGTGTGTGTGTGTGTGTGTGTGTGTGTGTCTAGGGACGCTAAATAATCCATGTGTTCTCATGTTATAGACACCAAACTATCCATATACTGTGTGCATGAGACTGTAGAAAATATGCTTTTATTAAATATGTATTTATGAACTACTATGTTAAGATTAAGTGTAAGGCAAAACCCATTGGCTAAAGCACCCATGCAAGCCTAGCATGTATAGAATATCAAATGGGAAGGCTATATTACTTCTGAGTTTGACAATATTGTGACTGCTAATGGAATACTGTGTTCAATTCCGGTGTTAATTCAAGGGGCTTATGATAACCCAGAGAGGGATCAGAGAAACCAAAGGAGAATGATTAAGGATTGGAAAGTAGGACTTAGATTGAGCTTCTTAAGTCACTCTTATTTCATTTATTGAAGAGAAGGTAAAGAGGTGATTTGATCATTCTATAATACCAACATTGGGAACAATAACTTGGCAATAGAGAGACCTGCAATCAAGCATACAAAGATATACCAAGATCCAACTTATCTGAAGCTAGATAAATCCATACGAAAATAAAGCAAAATTTTTAAAGAAAGGGTAATTAAACATTGGAATAAATTTGTAAATGTTGTGGATACTCCTTCACTGGAAACTTTAAAATCAAGACTGGATATCTTTTTAAAAGATGTGCTCTAGTTCAGAGCTGCCAACCTTATTACATAGGAGGGCCACATAAACCAAAGCATAACCTTGTGTAGGCCATACAGATTCTGCATACAGTAATTCCTCATTTAACACTATAGATATGTTTCAGAAAATGATCGTGTTAAGTGAAAACTTGTTATGTGGGGTCAATTTTCTCATTGAAAATAATGGAAAAGGTGGGGTTGCGTTTCAAGCGGTGGCATCTGTTGGGACCGGGACATAAGGGGACTGGGTTACAGCAGGGAGGGGAGGTGTTTGGCTCTGGGGAAGTGAAGGGGACTGTTGGGAGTATACCCCTCTGATGGATCTGCCGGGACCCGCACTGCGTCTGGGGGGGGAGGAGGGAGAAGAGAAGGGTTGCTGCAGAATGGCACGGCGAGCGGCGAACCTTCCGCCGCTTTGCAGGGAGATGAGGGAAGCCCCGTGCAGCCACCAGCAACAGGCCAGCTGGAGAAATTGTGTTATTCCGGGGACGGTTGGGTAATTAAAAAAAACTATCCCTAAAAAAAATTGTGCTATCGCAAAAACGTGTTAAGTGGGCACATGTTAAATGAGGAATTACTGTACTTAAATATTTTAAAGACCCTGCTATTGATTTATATTAGGCTGTTTGTGTACAGCATTATCTTTGTACACACTTGTATAAGCTAAAATGATGTAGATGTAAATGTAACAGAGCCCTAAAACTGTAACATGCAGTAATGACCAGTTTGTGGACTTTTATGAAATCCTCTGGTGAGCCCTACACACCCTGGCAGTTGGGCAGCCCTGCTCTAGTTCAACCACAGCCACTGAGTTTGAAGTAGGACTTAATTCAGTTGTATTCTTATGAAGTCCAATGGTCTGTTATACAAATGGGACTAGATGATCACAATGGTCCCCTCAGGCCTTAAAAATCCATGAATTGCAATGATTATACTTAGCAAGGAAGATTAAGCCACCAAAGCCCATAGTGAGACTTTCAGAAGCTGGAGTGTACTCAAGGGCTACGTCTAAACTGGCCCCTAATTCAAGTATTTGTACATGAGTACGAGCCCGCTGAGTCTCAACCTATCCACCTTCCAGTCATACCACAGAACTTTCATTTTAGTAGAGAGATTTTTACAATACCAGAAACAAAAGGATACTAAAAGAGAAACACTTTAGTGGATTTTTTTTTTGGTGGGGGGAGGGGGGGAGAAGGGAGAGAGTGGATACAGCCAAGTGTAAATGGAGCAGGATCCATAGCCGGGATTTAACTCAGACATTTTTTCTGCTCCTAGATACTATAATGATTGTATTATAAATACTCTGCATGAATAGACAGGAACATGTTCACCTCCATTTTAAAGCAAGTTAATATGTATACCAAGCAATGTTCCCTCTAATTTTTCCATGCATGTGCAGAATAAATTGTGCTTTGCTTTGTGCACCACCAATAAAAACACATGATGGTAGCTGTGGGTGCTTTGTCAATCAGCTGGGTGGAAACTGAATCTCTTCTGGGTGGCTGCTAAAGCACTCAGCTTACAGGGAACACAGCTATCCAGGCATTTATGTTTCTACAACAGCCTGCTCTATTAATGAAGAATGTAAAATGACTGTAATCTCTCTGGGGCAGAACAGAAATTAGCCCAAGTGCCTTGATCAATAACTGGGGCATTAGCCAGTGTTATCAGAAAAACAAACATTTGCTTAGTGTTCACTTAAAGTTACTTTACATTATGGAGAATAGTTGTTGGCTAGCGTTACTACTTTTAAAGTCCAACTCTTAACAATTCAAGACTGCGCTCCCTCAACAGTGTACACGTTTAAAGCTGAAGGACCCACTAAGGTGCTGTATCTACCCTGCAAGGATTGGTACAAAGGCTGAGAGTGGGATGCTTGTGTACTGTGCATCTCCTCTTACCTCTGGGACACCTACCACAGTATCAGGTATCAGAGGGGTAGCCGTGTTAGTCTGAATCCGCAAAAGCGGTGAGGAGTCCTGTGGCACCTTATCGACTAACCAAAGTGTTGGAGCATAAGCTTTCGTGGACAAAGACCCACTTTGTCAGATGCATCTGACCAAGTGGGTCTTTGCCCACGAAAACTTATGTCCAACACTTTCGTTAGTCCAGTAGTCCCCAACCTTTAGAGGTGCCTGGGGGTGGGGCCACTCATGCACCGGGTGCACCCGGTGCCGGCATGTTGCCTGGGGTCGGGGCCGCCCGAGCGCCTTGTGCCGTGGACCCGGGGCCGGCGCCGGCACCGGCATGTGCCCTGGGGCTGGGGTCGCCCGAGCACCGCGCACCAGGCGCCGGTGCGTGATGCGCACCTCGGGCCGACGCC